CACAACCTCTATAAGTTTGCCCAACTGCACAAGGCTTTAGGGGGACATCCAGACACAAACCATAACATTCTGCCTCTGGCCCCCCAAAGATTCATGCACACCCCTTTATACAAAAGGCATTTAGTCCATCTCTAAGAGTTGCCACAATCTTAACAGCAGTGATGAAAAGTCCAAGTCCTAAGTCTCTTCCAAGATGTAAGGCAAACTCTTAGCTGTGAGCCCCTGTACAAAGGAAAAGTTAAACACTGCCAGCATGCAATAGACAAGATAAACATTATCATTCCAAAAGTACCAATAGGGGATACAAAGCATTGGGACCAAAAGAAGTCCAGAATCCAGCAGGGCAAACATTAAGTCCTGTAGTTCCATGTGCAGCATCCAAGGCAATCTGTGGTAAGTTGTGAGCGCCATGTGGCTCCACTTCTGTGGCACTTCTGGTTGTAACTCCCATGGCTTCTCTCTTGGGCCCACTCTGCTCCCTCCTTGCAGCTTTCCTTAGATGAGCCACATACCTTAGTTCTGAAAATTTGAATTTCACTTTGTTTTTCAGTATTGGGGATTGGGCCCCGGGCCTTCACAGTGTGCTATAACCCTAGGCCTTTATTTTAAATTTTCTATTCTGAGACAAGATCTTGCTAAATTTCCCAGGTTGGTCTGGAACTTGTGATCCTCCTGTCTCAGCCTCATGGGGTTACAGGTTCGTGTCACCACCCCCAGCTTTCACACCATTTTTTGTTGTCATTTTTATGAGATGGAGTCTTACTATGTATGTAGTTTGGGCCCAACTTGAATTCACAATACAGCCCAGGCTGGCCTGAAACTCATACCCTCTTGCCTCAGCCTCCTGAGTGATAGTCACATAATTTTTATATCTTGAAATATTCTTATTTTCCCAATCATTTACATACATGAAAACATCTTAGTTTATGAGTCTTATGCAAACAGAACAAGGACTTGATTTGGCCCACAGACCAGATTTGCCAACATCGATGTTTAAAATTTTTGGCTTGAGGTGATTTATTTTGCTTATCTATATCTGGGTCTCACTATGTACCTGAGGCTGGCCTTGAACCCACAATCCTCTGGACTCAGCCTCCTAAGTGCTGGGATTACAGGCCTGCGCCCCCAGGCCCATCTGCCTTATACTTTCTGAATAAAGAAGATGACAAAACTCGAGGGGACAGTGAGCAGTTGATGTTGGTAAACCGAAAGGCAGATTAGAGAGACACCGGCTGGGGAGAAAGGATTTGGTGCAGTTAGTACTGAAGGCGCAGCCCAAGAGCCAGGCATGGTGGTGCTCCTCTGTGAGCCCAGCACTTGGGAGACCGAGGCAGAAGGATCAAAAATTCAAACCCAACCTGGCCAATTTAGCAATTTAATAAGACCCTGTTGCAAAGTAAAAACTGAGTGCTGGGCGTGGTAGAGCATGCCTATAATCCCAGCAACCAGGAGGCTGAGGCAGGAGGATCATTGCAAATTCAGGACCAGCCTGGGCTACAAAGTAAGCTCAAGTCCAGCCTGAACTGCATAGCTAGACCTTGTCTCAAAAAGACCAAAAAACAAAAACAAATAAACAAAAAAAAAAAGCAAAGTAAAAATTAAAAAAGGTCTGGGGATGTAGTTCAGTGTGACGGTGCTGTGTTCAATCCCCAGTACTGAAAAGAAATGAGAAAAGAAAGCAGAAAAGAAAAAATATAGCCAATATATAGTAAAACTGTGAGAAGAGTCAGTTTCATTTTGTAAGAAGGAGCCAGTTACCCTTGGACTACTCAGATTTCGTTCTTCCTCTTCAGTGTTAAAATGTTATCAAGAAAAAATAAAAAATAAATGTTAACAAGAGCTTAGAAAGGACCCAATCCAATATTACTTAAACTGTGTTACTCTCTTGGCTTTGTGCTATGTGTTTGAAATCTTTATAATGACCACGATCCTATGCCTCACTGACAGTTACAAGCATTCCTAGCACACAGTTATGGCCTCCACATTGCTTTGAAGCAAATTGCAGTCATTGTTGTATTTTTTAAATTTATTTTGTATTTTCTTTTTATTGCATCAATTTTCAAATATGCAAAAAGCAAAGACTAAGTACTAAATCCTCACAACCAGTCACCCAGCTTTGGCAATGACCAGCCCTACCATGTTTCTGTAGAACTGGGAACTGAACCCATGACCTGCAGACTAAGCTATAGCCCCACCTCATCTCAAAACAGGATCTCAGCAGGGCTCGAACCCATGCCCTCCCAGGTCCGCCTGCTGCTGGGGCCCAGGCTGCACATGGCCCTCAGCCTCACTATTTTAGATAGCCCCCAACATTTCATAAGTCTATAAAAAATCCAAAATATTACATAAACATTGTAATTTAATGGTGACAAAAATAATGGGGGAGTTTTATTTGATTTTCTCAAATTCCAAGGGAAAAATTAGTTTTAAAAGCTAGAAAACTCTAAGAGGACACTGATACTTGGTCTTTCTGGGTTGTTTCTCCTTTTATTTTGTCTGTTTTTGAGACATATCTTGCTAAGGTGTCCTTGACCTCACAACATAGCCCAGGTGGGTCTCGAAGGTGCGGTCGCACTTCAGGTCTGCACAGCTGAAGGGGCAGCGGTGGCCACAGGCAACGCAAGAGTGTGAGCTTCGTGACTGCAGAGCTTGAGGACCCCTGATCCTGAGCCTTCCCTCATCAGAAAAGAAGGGGAGGGACGGGGAAGGGAGGGGAGAGGAGGGGAAGGGAGGGGAGGGGACAGGAGGGGAGGGGAGGGGAGCAGAGAGGAGGGGAGGGGAAGGAAGGGAGAGGGGTGTAAGCAACTTGCCCAAGTCACACAGCTGGGCCCTGTAGAGTAGGCTACAGACCCAGGCAGCCCACTAGCACCCCAAATCCCACTGCCCCATTCCTGAGAGCGAGTGGCGCTCTGTGCAGAAGATTAAATAACACGCTTCTCCTCAACCACAGGGTCAAGGTCGCCCGGTGGAGGTCTCAGTAAACAAGAGGGACACGAGCGAGAGCCCAGCCCTTCTCCCTGGAGAGGCATCCACGGTGTGACAGAAGGGGGGCTGTCGCCCTCGTCCAACAGGGAGGTCGCCTGCTTCACTGGGGCAGACCTTCTCGTAGTGGGCAAAGATCCACAGTCTGTGGGGTTTTTAGCTTAAGGAAATGCAATCAAATCCAGGAAAAGTCAAGCTTTTAATTTGATTCATCCAGAAAATTCCACTGGCCTTTGTCACATCGTTGACTATTTACAACCCTGTGAGTTATTTTTTTCTTTTGAGATAGGCCCCCACTCAGTAATTCAGACTAGCCTTGAATTCACTGGTAACTCAGGCTGGCTTCAGACTGACAGTGATCCTCCTGCTTCAGCCTCCTGAGTGCTGGGATTACAGGCGTGTGCCACAATGCCTGGCTAAAATTCTGTTGATTCTTATACTTTTTCTTTCTTTTTTTCTTTTCAGTAAAAGATTCTCTTATTTTCTTTTTATCTCAGTAAATGCTCTCATTTGGCACCTTCCACCCTAAACCGAAGACCTCGGGCCCACAGAGCTAGGCGTGCCCACGCCACCCACCGTGGGAGCACCGTTCCTGTCCTTGGCCCCTCAGGGAGGCCGAAATCTGTCCTGCTGCGCTGATGGTGCCGGCCACGGGGTGGCGGGACAGTCCACGGAACCGCAATCCTGTAGTTGCGGCCGGCCCAGGGAGCCCAGGGAGCCCAGCGGGGCTCCGCGTTCTCGCTGGTGCCTGTCCCGGTGGGCACAGCGCTCTGGGCGCTCAGCCCTGGCGGGTCCCGGGAGCGGTGGGACAGGGTCCCGAGGCCCGCGCCGCATGGATCAGCCGGCTCCGAGCGCGGATAACAGGGAGCAGGCGGCAGGGTCACGGCTGCTCTTTAGGTCCTGGGGAGGAAAACGCCCAGGCGTAGTCCGCGGTGGGGAAGACGGGGGTCTGGGTTAGGCACAGCCGGGGACGGCAGGAGGCTCGGCCCGGGTCCGGGTCGGCTCCCAGGCCGCTGTGCGCCGCTCCTGCCCGACTCCCTTGGGGTCCGCGCAGTTGCTGGAGCTCGAGCCTGGGCCTGGCCCAGCGGCTCCTGCCCACCTCGGAAAAGACGCAGAGATGCCACTGGTGAAGAGGGGTGCGAACACGATCCCCCAGAGGCCTCAGTCCTCTGCCTGCTCCCGACGCAAGGAGAGCTAGGCGCTGCCTGTGCGCCAGCCCTCGGGACATGATCCCTCCTAACTGTCCCACAGGGTTACACTGCCCTGGGGACTAAGTTTCCAACATATGCACTCTGGGGACACAATCTTGCCAGGCACCTTGGACTGGCGCGTATTATTCTCCCGTTTCCACCGTCGGTCCGTTCTTCCCGACAGTGTTGGAAACGCCTGCGGGCAGGGATCCCCGTCATCCAGGAGGGGACCTGACCATCTCCGTGCCACCCAGGTCCTGGCCTGCCCCCTGCCCGGCCGGCTCTTCCCGCGGGCCTTACAGCCCTAAGCTCTGTCAGCCTGCGACAGGGGGCGAAGTGGGAGCAATACTTAGGGCAGCTCGAGGGCCCAGGGAGTATCTGCTCACCGTGATCCTCCTCACAACTGGTCCCCAGCATGGTGGTCCCGAGCCTCTGATTATCCATGCACCTGCTCACCAAGCCTACATGTGAGTAAGGCTTTTGAGTTTGAGGCCAGCATAGTCTACCTGGCAGGAATCTGTCTAAAACAAAGCCAGGCATAGTGGTGCACATTTGTAATCCCAGCATTCGGGAGGCTGAGGCAGGAGGATCCATGAGTTCAAGGCCAGCCTGGGCTACATTGTGGGTTCAAACCCAGCCTGAACTGCACAGGGGAGACCTTGTCTCAACTCCCCCATAAATAAAAAAAATTGAGGGGCTGGGGATTTAGCTCAGCGGCAAAAGCGCCTGCCTGGCATGCGCAAGGTCGTGAGTTCGGTTCCCGGTACCGGAGAAAAACCAAAAAAAAAAAAAAAATTGAAAACACAGAGCCGTCAAACGATTCCTGTGACCTTCACATTCTCTCCCTGGAAACTAATTCATATGAGAAGCCAGATTATAGTCGTCTCATTGCTTGATGAGAGAAAACAAGCAGATTATCCAACACAGTATTAAGCTCCAGAGTGAACAGCTTCAAGAATTCTTCCCGAGATAAGAGCTGGAACTCCCAATAGGGCAGAATGAGCTATGATTGTCCTCTGATCAATACAGGGACGGTGGCATCTATCACTGACTCATTCTCCTTTGCCTCAACTCCCCCTAAACTAGAATTTTCCCTCTGCTACGGGGGCCTCCAAAATGCACGTGCAAATTTGAACTTCATATGTACTGGGGAAAGATCTCATTCAATTTGATGAACTTTAAATGGGTATGTAACATGTATAATCTGTAATAATCATTAACATATAAATGCATTATGACTAATGCACTATAAATTCATTGGTAATATAGTATAACTTTATCCATTAAAATCAATTCCAATTAAAAAATACTCAGATCAACATAGGTTCACATATATGTACACATTTATATTTCCAATACAGTTTTACTACATACAGTAGATTGTTCAGTTTGTCTTTTGCGTAGTATAGTTTGGATATCTTTGTGTTTTGTTTTCACTTGGCTTGGTTTTGTTTGTTTTTGCTGGACCAGGGGTCAAACCCAGGGCCATGCTACCTCATCTCCAGCCTTTTCATCTTTTATTTTGAGATTTACTCACTGAATTGCTCAGGCTAGAACCAAACTTGCAGTGCTCGTGCCTCAGCCTCCCTAGTAGCTGGTGTCATCATGGCATGGGCCACCATGCCCAGCTTCACATAGCACTTTTACACTGACAAAAGTTTTCATGACAACAGCCCAGGATTCAATCCTTAGTACTACAAAAAGGAAAAAAAGGTTTTCATAAACTTAAAATTATCTTATTTTCTAGTAAAATGCGAAACTCTATGAACTAAGCCAGAGGTTGTAAAATACAAATGTGGCCCATGAACTAGCTTATTTAACCCACTTTTTTCATATATCTTAGATACTATGATTTAGAACCCACATAATTTCTTTTTTGTGATACTGGGGTTGAACCCAGGCCCTCTGCCCTGAGCTACATCCCCAGTCTTTTTTTATTTTAAATAGGATCTCACTTAGTTGCCAAGTTTCACAGGCTGAGTTTGAACCTGAGATCTTCCTGCTTCAGCCTCCCAGAGTGCTGAGGTTACAGGCCTGTGCCACTATGCCAAAGCTCCAGGAGAGAGGGCTCCTTATAAAACAGTAACAACGAGTTGTTCATGCCTTTGCACCAGGGCCCTGGCACTTTAGAAGCCAGTAATAGAAGCTAAGTACTGTTTTAATCCTCTTATTGGGGTGCTGGGGGTGGAACCCAAGGCGTGGTGCATGCTGGGCAATGCCGCACCCCTGAGCTGCACCCCAGCCCTAACTCGGGCATCCAGGATACAGCTGTGGGCATCAGTATCTGCAACTCGGCAGCCTTGCTTTGGCACAGAGAAAAAACGGATCTTTAAAACTTGGCATTGTTTTCTTGTGCATATGAGCTGCTTCCTCATGTGGAGAGTGTAGGCCAGGAAACCCTCTCCGCCTCGGCACGCGGAAATGGATAAGAAACCTCGCCTCTGTCAATAGGCGGTGATTTAGTGGCTCGGCGGGAGACGGTGCAGCGCGTTGACTTCCTCTGTGGACAGGTCTGTGAAAGGACGAAGACTTGTATTCACTCATCTACGCCTGCGACCCATTTCACAGGTAAACGATGTCTATACATGTTGCTAAACACTACATTTTCCTTAAATTAGAGATGAAATCCTGTTACAGTGAACAATTCGAAAGTCCTTGAGGTGTGTCTGCCTTTGCGTAGTATATGTACCTGAAAGGTGCGTAGATCTGGCTTTTATTGCTAGTGAACTTGCTGTTTAAAAGCAGTCCTGGTGGCCGGGACCGGGGAACCGTGCGCCCCACCCCAGGACGCTGGTCAGATCCCGGGATCATCGCTCAGACCGAGGCCAAACGCCGCCTACCTTGCGGGACGGGCTCCTCTTGCGCCGCCCAGCCCCAGCAGCGCCAGGCGGAGGAGGCGGAGCGGCCTGCAGGAGCAGAGCTCAGGAGCCGCACCCGCTGGGGCAGCCGGACTGCGCCAGGCTCCAGTTCCCGGAGGCTGGGCGGGGCTTTGAAGTCCAGGCGACCCGGATCTTGGTGCTGCTTTCGTGAGTTTTTGACTCTTGCAGAGGAACTGCCCACACCGCTGAAAAGCCGCTCCAGGGTCTGAGCCACAGTGTGACCTTCGCCGTGGATTCCGTGTTAAAAGGAGACCTGGAGAGAGTCCAGGGAAATCTCGGGAAGCCCTCTGACCAAGCCCGAGCAGTGTATGAGAAAAGATTGCGAAAGTTCAGAAGAAAACTGAGATCCTGCCAAAGAGGCGGGATGCTCGCACCGTGCTACCTGGAGCCGAGACTGTGGAAGAAACGAAACGGGAAGGCGCTGCTTTGGCCTGTACGCATGGTCCCTCCTCGAGCAGAATTCAGCCGGGTGCTGCGGCGCACAGCGCACGTCCCTCGAGGTGGCTTGGAAACTTGCAAGAAACAAACAGTACTCCAAACCTGGCTGCTGACCCAGCGCGCACCAGGCGGACCAGGATGAGGAGGAGCAGCAGCGCCGGGGAACGAGGAAAAGGCGCTGAAAGAAGGGCTGCGCTGAAGCCAAGCGCAGAGCAGGAAGGGTGGCCGGAGGGCAATGAGCCACGAGGCCAGGTGTGAGCATCGCAAACGCAGTGCAGACACGCGCAGGGCACACACACACATGCACACAAGCGCAGGGCACACACCTGCAGTGCACACACTCGCAGGGCACACACCCACAGTGCACACACGTGCAGGGCACAAACCTGCAGTGCACACACGTGCAGGGCACACACACGCAGGGCACACGGGCAGCCTGCACTGCCCCTGCTCCTTGCCGGAGAGCCGGGCCGAGGACACCGTCCCTGACCCCATGTCCAGAGCAGGCAGCGAAGGAGCAGGATGTGCAGCCCGGCGCTCGGCACCAACAGGCAGCGGAGAAGAGGCCCCAAGTCGGCCTTCCGAGGCCAGCAGAGCTGGGGAGAGCGCTCGGACAGCTCATGGAAGCCACCCTTGAGGCCGCTCTGCCGCCCCCCGGGAACAGCGTCGGCAGCGACTGTGGCTCGTGAGAACCCACGCGGCTCTCGGCCCACTTGGGTACCGGCTCTGTCTAGAAGGCGCTGGCGTCCGCGAGGAGATGCGGGTGTCTGTGTCGCCTTCGGTCACTGGGACTAGACAAACCCTGAGGTTCGGGACTCTTGCTTGCAAAGGATGTGGGAAACAAGCGATTTAATGAAATCCTGGAGGGAAACTTAACCAGCCCGGCCCCCACATCCACGCCCGCGTGTGACACGGCTGCAGGAAAAGGCTGCGTCACCGCAAAGCATGGCCAGCACCAAGGCAGCCCTGCTCCTCGCCCACTGCGGAATGAACTGCTGGAAGCCTCACACCCAGGGGTGCGCTTGCACTCAGGCAAATCTGTGCGGAACATGGAACCGCTGCTGGAACCAGACAGGAGCCAGGGACGCTGCATCGCACCGTCCACGCTGCGGACCACACAGCTCTCCATCCGGCTGCTTCCTGCTACAGCACCGTGGGCACCCGGGGAAGCAGACAGCAGGGATGCGCTCTGCACTGCTGGAGCTCACGCGCCACGCCCGGGGGTCTGAAGAGGTTGCTGAGGCGCCCCCGCACTGCGCATGCGCTTCGTGAACCTCACTGCGGAAACAGCTTTGGACGCAGTGAGGCGACGCAAAGCCGTCCCGTGCACAGACCTGCTGTTCCGGGCTCAGTGTGGCAAGGTCAACCCCAGGTCACAAACCGGGCCCAGTCCAGAGAGGTCGCTCACCCAAGAGAGCGCTGGGAGAAGCCACAGCTGCCGCAGCGGCCCGATCACCAGCTGGTGGAAAAGCAGTAAATCTGAGAGACGGACATAGAAGAGCTATCAGGTGAGCAGAGATTCTGGAGCAGAAATACATTAGAAATTAGATTGCTTTGACGAGATGCCCTAGAAACCTGAGCACACTGAGGGTTTGTTTTTATAGCATAACAAGCAGGCGTTTGGGTAGGTAGGGCAGCTGCAAGGTTGTCATCCAGCCCCCTCCCCTTGTGGCTGTGTGTACTTTGCCTGTGGCGTTTATCCCCATGGTCACAAAGTGGCTGAAGCACTTCGAAGTGTCACATCTGTGTCCCACACGAGCAAATAAAGCAAAAGACAGATCACCACCGACTGTACATCTCTATAGAGCAGACCGCTGGGAATCTGCTTCCCGCTCGCTGGTCAGGACCCTGTTCAGAAGGATAGAACCTGAGAACAGGACAGGACTGGAGGGTCACTCAGGCGGGACTCGAGGACCCGTAAGTTTTATTTCTAAATGCAAATCTGCGGCAGATATGGAAAGGCGTTAAGCAAGCTGATTGGTTACACGGGGAGACTTGAGGGCTTGCACACACTTCTGCTGTGTCAGTGAGTCTGAATTCGGCCTCTCAGCTTTCCTTTTTTCTGATGATGTCCTGGGGCCCCATCTCCCTGTGCCCCAGGGCCTCAAAGCTGGATCTCCCGGGGATTGTTCTCCACTGGGCCCTTGCACACCACCTCCTCACACGCACTTGTGTTCCGAGTCTTCACACTTGGCCCTTGGCCCTCCCGCGCCCTCGCATCCCTGCCCACATTCAGGGCCTGCACTTCTGCTTTTCCCTCCAACCCAAGCCCCCGGCCAGGCCTTTCACAAAGTCCACTTCCGGCCGTGAAAACCAGAACATTTACCTGATGGAAGCTGCAGGAAGCCCACCCTAACCATCTCTCCAGGAGACACTGCATGCTCGCCATATCCAGTGGCCCATTCACAGCTCATCCCCATCCTCCGGAGACCCGGACCGTCCTCATCCTCTCTAGCTGCTCCGTTTCGGTTTTGTGACCCACGCTACCACTCCTGGCCTCTGACTCTCACCAGCAGCCGGATTCCGGCTGCCCGGCCTGGGAGCCGCCGCCCCACGCCCAGCAGCGTGTGGCCTCCTCCTCCCTTCCTAGCTCACCCAGCTGCCCCTGCTCCTCCAAGGGCGCAGGGGAGGGAAAGCTCCTCCCCACACCAAGAGGCAGGGCACTTTCACTTCTCTCAGATACACAGCGGGCACCCACATGACTCCGGAGCAAGGAGAGGCCAAGGCCCTGAATGCAGCACCCGGAGGACAGGGTTCTGCTCCAGGTGGTGTCCAGGCTGGAGTCCCCACCAGAGGCAACCCGGCACCGCACCTGGGTCCTATGTTAGCTGTGATGCCAGAGAGGGGGAGCAGCTTTCTCACAGGGCTCTCATGGGGCGGCTGGCACACAGGTTCCTGCTGGGGACAGACCTGTACTAGAGGACGGCGCGGGACTTGGCAACCACCTTGCAGCCTTTCTGACACTGCGGGACTGAGGCCAAGGCTGGATCTGCTGTGCTCAGCCTGCAGCTCGCACTGCACAGCCCTGGAGACAGCCTAGCAAACTGTGGCTAGAGAAATGAGGCGGCCGGATGTGGTGGCACACGCCTGTAATCCCAGCATTCAGGAGGCTGAGGCAGGAGGATCGCTGCAAGTTCAAGGCCAGCTTGGGCTACAAAGTGAGTTCAAGCCCAGCCTGAAGGACACAGTGAAACCCTGTCTCAAAAAGACAGGAAGAAAGGAAAGAAAGGAAAGAAAGAAAGAAAAGAGAGGGAAAGAGAGAAGAAAGGAAAGAAAGGAAGAAAGGGAAGGAAGGAAGGTGACAAGGCCTGTCCCCTTCCTAACAGGGAATTGCCCCTTCCCGTGCCCCAAGGCCCTTACACACAGACCCAACGCCAGCATCGAGACAGGAGGCATCGATTTACTGATGTTCACATTAAGCCACGCCCCAGCAGGAAAAACAGGACTGTGTCTAAAGGGAATAAAACAACAAGGACACCACAGAGAACGCACTGAACACACTCCTGACAGGCACCTGGATTTCTTCTCGGCCAGAGCCAGCGGTGCCTGGGGCTTCTCCCCAGCGCCACTGTGGACCACCTCCCTCCTGTGCCCTCGAGGTTTCCGGTCCGGGACAGGAGGGGAACGGGCATTCTCCTCCAGGCCCGCACACCACGTGACCTCTCCCGTTCACTCGGATGAGCCTGCCGTATCCTGTCGGTGACGCAAGGTGCACACGCGGGTGAGGCAGAGTCTGGTGACAAAACAGCTAGCACCAAAAAGCGGCTCCTGCTTCCTCGTCACGAAGTAAACACAGTATCTGTTTATTTTTGTAAGGAAAGGAAAGTCTTAAAAATATATGGCACTAGAGTGTAAAACTACACAGCTGCGTCCCGGGAAGCGGCCGGTCAGATGTAGAGCTGGTGGGAGGCCAGGGTATCCATGAAGGGCCGCACCAGGTTGTCGGTGGAGAAGTAGAAGATGAGCCCGAAGGTGATAGAGATGGGCAGGGCAGGCAGCGCTTTCTTGAACACGGCGAGCAGCAGGAGGGTCAGACACAGGCCCTGCGGGACGGCGAGGGAGGGGCCGGCCGTGAGCACCCGTGGACAGGCAGGACGTGCAGGGCCGGGCTCCCATCCGGTCACAACGCCACAAGCCTGCTGGGGCCAGCAGTCGCACAGGACGGCCTCCCGAAGGACAACGAGACAAGTGGCCTGACTGAAACCCCCGTGAGGACCTCGGCAGCCAACACTAAGGAAACCAAAGGTGCCGCTGACCTGTGCCCTCGTGGCCCTGCCTGCCTCTGCCCCAGGCATCCAAGGCGGGGACAGGGAGCCAGGGTGCCTTCCTGCCCTTGGGGACAGCGGGGCTGAGGTGAGACAGTCCGGAGGGGCGGAGCCTGGGGTCCGTGATGCCCTCCCCGACACGCGGGAGCACCGCCCTGAGCCACGAGCCCTGCCCCCTGACACCCGTGAGTTCTCGGGGGCGGGGGGCAGGACAGGGAGTGTGTGCCGCGCGTGAGATTCGGCCTCTGCTCATCTAAAAGGAAGGCTCCCCAAGGTGACGGCTTGGGGTGATGTCCCACTGCTAGACCCTCCCGAGCCCCAGGGGACTGCTAGGCTCAGAGCCTGGGTGTCCCCGAGGCCTGCAGGGCATCAGCAGCTCTGTAGCAGGAGAAGCATCCTCTTAGCTTTGTGTGCATGGCTCTTAGACTGGTTCCCCTCCGTAAATTTCAGGGGTCACAGAGGTGTCAGGCAGCACTGGGCAAACCCACAAAGGTCCCCTCCATGACGCTGCCCCACAGGTGAGAGAGCCTCCAGGGGTGACCACACCTCCTCAGTGCTTCTTGGTGGCCCCGCCCAGGCCCCTCAGAGGGAAGATGGCAGCCAGAGGAGACCCCCGGGGCAACCCCGCACTCACGATGAGGATGGCCACGAAGCAGGCCAGCGTGGTGTTCCAGTCCCCGCTGCCCGTGGCCGCCGCCTTGCCCACCAGCACGCTGTAAAAGATGAAGTCGCCCAGGCCGAGCTTCACGCCCCCTGTTGGGAGGGAAAGAGGCCTGGTCAGTCCCAGAGCCAAAAGAAAGCAGGGAGAAAACAGGAGGCGAAGGACAGGGACACCAGCAAGGAGGCCCAGCCGCCCTGCAGCGCACGAGGGGCCAAGGCACCAGAGACTGGGGACCAAGGTGGGGGTCGGTGAGGCAGCTACATGGGGAGGAGGGGACCCAGGCCCGGGCCACGCACAGCCTAGGCAGAGAGAAGCTGGCGGCCACGCTGCGGCGCAGGGGAAGCCAGAGCTGGGCCGGAGCTGAGTGAAGAGCAAATAAACATGGCTGCCTGGGGCAGGGCACTCTGTCACTTCGTGCCAAGGGAATTACAGATATTCTTTGGAAATTTAAATTCACTCCTTTCAAGAACAGGGATAATAACATGACAGGGGCCTCCTAGAGACCCTTCCCTGTGAGGTCAGAAAACAGAATCCGTGATTCGTGCATCCATTCCTGGGGAGGACCTGAGCTCCCAGGGGCTTTCCAGTTTACGTAGTCCAGCGCCACTGAAGAAATGCGGCTGGTTTGGTTCAGGGCACAGCAGTGCATGCGTGGCCTCTGTCTGTGCCCCGCAAGCTCCAGCAGGTCCCCCGCTCGCCTCGGCATCCCCTCGCTCTCTCCTCATACCCCCACTCCTCCTTTCTAGCTCGCACTCAGAAGAGCCCGGTGCTGGCCCCCGGGAACCCACGTCCACCGCCCAGCACTCTAGCCAAGCCCCACGTCCCCCAAGGACACGTGCAGGCTCGTGCCGTCTGTCTGTCCCTGTGCCCCCCTGGGTCCCCCTCAGGTCCTCTCACAGTACGCTCTCTTCCTCTGTACATACCTCTGGCCCCAGGCTTCCACCTGTACCCGCCCGGCTGCCCTCTTGGCCACAGCCCCGACAACATGGATCGGGGCGGCCCTCCTCCACCCCGACTTGGGGGAGCCCCAGCCCGCCCTGCCCCGCAGCAGACCACCTGAACACGGGCACCTTACTTTCCTCCTCTTCCTCCAGCTCTTCCCCGGGGTAGCCAGGCATGGGGGGCTCGAAGACATCAGGGTACGAGGGCTCCCCAAAACTGTCATAGGAGTCTTCTTCTGGGTGTCCGGAAGAGGAGGCCACCATCAGCACCGAGAGGAAGCGGCAAGGGGGAGACAGACGCTGCTCAGAGGGCTCCCCGGGAACAAGGCGGCCCCACCTAGCATGGCAGCCACACGCCAAGGTGTCGCTGTGCCCAGCCACCAGCTGCCCGGGCAGAGCTGAAACACAGAGCCCAGGCGCAGGGCAACAGTCAACCCGCGCACAGTCCCACCCTGTGTGGAGGACTGGCTATCGGATGACACATGCCTCCCAGAGACCAGGCCGAGTGGGGTGCGAGGAGAAGGTGACCCCAGTGATGACAGGCGGGCACCCCGGTACTCACCCATCTCCGGGTCATAGGGGAGCTGCAGGGCGCCCTGTGAGGACGGGTCCAGCTTTGCCATGCCCACTGTCCACACCATGGCAGCTGGGGAAGGAGACGGGGCCACAGCTCAGCACAACCCACAGTGGCTGTGTCCCCAGGGCCCGCAGGACCCCCACTGCAGTCCTGGCTCGAGATCCACCTGAGGGGCTGCTGCAGCAGGGGTCCAGCGGAGGCAGACAGCACCATTCTCTTTTGTTTTTGCGCTCCTCACAATCAGTACAACAGTGGATGATGACAGTAAGGGCAAGCAGTCTGCTGAAGTAGTTGTTTTAAAAACTGTGTTTAAAAAAATACACAATGTACTACCTTATCCATGTCTGTTTTGCTTTGTTTTGTGGTACTGGGAATTAAACCCAAGGGGTGCTAAGCTATATCCTTATCCTTTTAAAATTTGTTTTTCTTTTGAGATGGGGTCTTGCTGAGTTGCCCAAGGTGGCCTCAAGCTGCAATCCTCCTGCCTCAGTGTCCTGAGTAGCTGGGATTACAACCAGGTACCACCAAGGCCAGCCATCTTAACCATTTTTAGTGTACACTTCAGTAGTACTCAGCGTATTCACACTGCTGTGTAAAGATCACATTTTTTGCAGCCAGGGGTGGTGGCCCATGCCTGTAATCCTAGCACTCAGGAAGCTGAGGCACAAGGATCACCTTGAGTTCAAGGCCAACCTGAGCTACATAGTGAGAACTTGTCTCAACAACAGCAAAAAAACCACTTTTCCATCTTGCAGAACTGAAACTCAGTACCCTTTAAACACACCAAACATATATCAAAAAACAAAGTAAGATGGGAAAAATCCTAAAATTCGTATGAGACCACAAAAGATCCAGACAAGCCAAAGCAATCCTGAGTTTAAAAAAATGCCAGAGGCACCACAATACTTGACTTCAAAACACACTACAAAGCTAGAGTAAACAAACAGGATGGTAACAGTATAAAATCAGACACAGCTCCCAGTGGGACAGAAGGGCGAGCACAGTACGAACCCACCCTCCCACAGACAGCCGGCCTCTGTCAGAAGCACCACAGTAGAGACACACAGTAGAGAAACGAGTCTCTAATAAGTGGTGCTGGTGGCAAAACTGGACACACATGTGGTGAGGAATAAAACTGGAGCCTGCCTCAAACCCAACACAAAACTCAACTCAACACGGATCAAAGACCTAAGTGTAAAACCTGAAACAATGAAATTACTACAAGAAAACACAGGGACCATACTTCAAGGCGCTGGTGTAAGCCTGTGATCTGTAGGTGGGTCTCCAAAGACACAGGCAACAAAACCAGAAATAGACAAATGGATTTAACAAACAAAGGAGCTTCTGTCCCGCAAGGGAAACAAGGGAAAGAATTAGGAGACAACCTACAGAATGGGAGAAAATGTTTGCAGACTATTTGTACAAGAGATTGATACACAGAATACATAAGGAACTGAAAAAGTTGATCACCAAACAAAGCAAACAATCCAACTGAAAAATGGACAGAACTAAATGACATTTTTCCAAAGATACATAAATGGTCAAAAAGTGGGTGAAGAAATGGTTGGTCTCATGCATGGGGAAATGCAACACAGGAAGAATGACCATTACCAACAAGAGAGAATCAGCCAGTGCTGGTGACGGTGTGCAGAGAAGCAAACTTACGCACTGGTGGTGGGGATATCGTTA